TGAATTAAAAAGGTTTTGTAAGAAAAAGATCCAAGCCGTTGGATTCTTTAGGTGTATATGTTTATGTATATTGGTGCATCAGAAAATTTCAAACATGGTGCAGTTAATCTTATAATTTATTTTTCAACTACATCACGTTGGCCGACCATCATCTGTTGTGATAATGCAATGCATGTTGGTGTGTATATACTGTTTTTTTTTTTTGAACAGCAAATGGATAATTCATTGATGAAAAAATTGAGTACAAGGGGTACTCAAACCCTTACAACACATACAAAAAGCCAGCCCTTCAGTGTTACTACTATCTTTCAAATCATTACTACTTTCGTCTACAATTTACTAACAGACAAGAAGTAGGATCAATCATTATAAGGGAGTTTGCTTGTTATTTGAAGTTAATGAATCTTTAAAACTTCATTTGTAGGGCATGGTGGTGTTGAAGCGATGAATGCTGGGGGTGCTGGTACCACTGAAGCTGCTTATGGGCCTCATCATTTCGCGCATGGTGGTTTGCACTACATGGGAAGTTCAAGTTCAAGCATGGTGGGAAGTTCAGGCATGGTGGGAAGTTCAGGCATGGTGGGACGCTCAAGCACGGAAAATTTAAGCGCGGAAAGCATGGAATGTTTGGTGGGAAGTTCAAGTTCAAGCATGGTGGGAAGCTCAAGCACGGAAAATTTAAGCGCGGACAGCATGGAATGTTTGGAGGGATATTCAAGTGGTGGAAATGATAGGCTTTCTGATTCGTGAAGTTTTAAGAATCTCAGATTGTGGTTTCGATGAATAATTATCTCATATTCTGGTTTCTGTTAGAAAATAAGAAATAGCATAAGAAGAAAAGGTGTGACCTCCAAAGCAGTCAATACCGTATTGGTATGCGTATCGATTTTGCTATTGTAACGGTACGTACTGGATACCGAAATTTTTCGTGTACCATTTCGGATTTATCGCTATAAATATATATTTTTATAAATTAAATATCAAATTTTAAAATAAAATAAGAAATACTAATATTTAAAACTATGATATTCTTATAAATTAAAAATAAGTTTAAAATGATCATTTTTAGTCTCTTAACTTTTAATATATGTATATTTTTTGCACTTGACCCTAAAGGCCCACTGGCATTAGCCAGTTAGCCGGTGCACTCCCCCATCCCCCCGAGTGGGTTTCGAACTCGTCCCTTGCCAAATGTTCAAAATATATATATATATATTTTTCGTCCATCCACTTTAAATTAAGGGACTAAAAATATGTATATTTAGACAAATTTAACAAAATAATTGATAGAAAGACTAAAAAAAATGAAAAATGGATTAAAAAAATACATAAAAAAAGTTAAAAGATAAAAATTATATATAACATTAAAGTTGAGGACAAAAAATGAAATTTATCTTTTTTAAATTTGAATTGAGTTGTACGGACAACTTCTTATTAAGAAGCCCTTAGCCCAAAACGACGTCGTTTTGGGCTAGGGAATCCTTTTTCTTTTTTTTTTAAATTTGCAGTGTGTATCAGTCGAAATTTCAATGAACCGGTTGATTCACTAGAATTTTGACCAGTACATTGAATTTTGACTGAAATGATCGAATTTTGACCGAAACAAAAATTAATATTATACCATTTCGGTTAACTTTGAAAACCGATATGTGCCGACCGTACCAATCGGTACGATACGGTTTTCACTTCTTTGGTGACCTCACTTGTTTTAAAGATTTAAAATATTTTAAAATACAATAAAACTTAAAACTCTCTCAAATGTAGAACTCTAATTAACTTTATATAAGAATTTACTCTGTTTTAAAAGTCATTATTTGTAGTCATATATCCTTACAAAAAGACAATTATATTTGATTTTCAAATATGTCTTTTTAAATTTGAATATGATAAAATAAATAATAAAAAAGTAATGTCTTAGAAGCCAAGCTCCAAGGTGCCGATCTTTGATTATATATATAAGGGGCAGGGCTTAATTTGCCTTAAGTTTCACTTTACTTATCTATTTGTTAATAAACAGTAAATTTTTATAAACTCCTTTAAGTTCTTATGCTTTTTTTGACGTGAGATGTTAACATTTTGTAAATTATTTAACAGTTTCTATCAATAATAATCTAGATATCCACTCTGTTTGCTGGAAGGCCACTGCACAATTTACTGTGATGTTTTTCCTTGGGTATGATAGGGGTATAGATGGTTCCCTCTTTTATGGTTCTTGCCATTGAGCCAGATCACCTGTTGCTGAAATGGCAGTTTGTAAATGCACTTCAATATGTATGTCTTTTGATGGAAAATGCACTTCAATATTGAAGTTGCTTTTAAGTATAAAAAATTTACTTCAATGTATTTTAATTCTAAGGCATCTCTAATTCGAAAACCTACAAAAAAATACATATATATACAATTAAGTTTGCGTCAAAATGCTTGGGAATAATTTACCATCCACGCTAGAAGTCATAGCTCTCTATATACAGCTTTTGCAGAAGTAGAGAGCGATGAGAGATAGAGGTAGAGAGAGAGCGAGAAGATGGGAAGGCGGACGGTCATGGGCATGGCGGACGGCACGGAGCAGAGAGTTCTTTGGCAGAAAGGAACAAGGTAGAGCAGATCAAGGCCGAGTATGGAAAGACAGCAGAAGGCAGGAACCTTGGGGATATGATCGAGGTGTGTACAACCAAGCAATCCCTTTTTTCTTCACAAACTTTCCAGATGACTGGAGCCACGGGGATATGTGGAGAACTTTCCTTCGTTTTGGAAGAGTGTTTGCCATTTACAGTCCACAAAGAAAAAACAGAGAGGGAAGAAGATTTGGGTTTGTAAGGTTCCTGGAGGTGAAAGATGAGAGGGAACTTGAAAGGCGCCTGAATGGGATTCAAGTAGGTAATTTTACTTTGAAGGTGAATAGACCGAAATACAGCCTACAGGAGAAAGTTGATGCACCGTCCGCGAGGAACATGGCTAGTGCTGAACAACACAAAAGCTACGCGGAGGTGGTGAAGAGGGGCCAACAAGTGAAAGGGAAGCTGAATAGAATTGTTGGTGAGCATGGAGGGCAAACATGGAAGGCTAAGGAAGAAGTTAATAATCAAGCGGGACTCAAATTAAAGGCCACGAAGGATGACGAGGAGTGGCTGAAAGGATGCATGGTTGGTACAATTCATTCTGTAGAGTCGGTTCCACTTTTGCAAGAAAAGTTCTTTATGGAAGGCTACTTTACCTACAAAATCCGTCCAATGGGAGGGAAACTAGTGTTGCTAGAAGGAAGTGACAGGGACGAAGTGAAGGATCTTGTGGAGCTTGCCGCTGATTGGCTTGGACACTGGTTTGAAGACATCAAGCCTTGGTCCCCTGAAATAGTGGCAACTGAACGTTTCACTTGGTTAAAATGTCAAGGAATGCCTGTTCATGGCTGGAATTCAGATAACTTTTCGACTTTAGGCTGTTTATTTGGAAAGTTTCTGTGCTTAGATGACAGTACAAGCAAAAGAAAGCGCTTCGATGTGGCAAGATTTCTAATCTCCACTCCAATTATGGAATTTATCTCAAGGACAATTACAGTTACAGTCAATGGAGCCCTATACAAGATCAAAGTCATGGAGGAGGAATCCACAAATAGCTTATTTAGAATGAGTTCAAATTGGGTTTCGGCTGAAAAGTGGAACTCGAAAGATCTTGAATCCGGGTGGGGTGCTAGTGATTCTAGTGCCAAATATGAAGTTGATAGCCATGGAGATTACAGTAGAAACTTGGACTTTCCAGAATTTGAAAAAGGATTGCAAGTTGAAGATGATGACGTGGCGCAAATCTGGTGGGAGAAGGACGAAAGATCAGTGAACAAACCCAAAGATGGGAGTGACAACGGCATGCAAGGAAAAGACGTGCAAGAAATAGGTGTCAGTATGACCGTTGAAAGTTCCCAAGGCATGCAGTCGAATGATGAATGTCAGGAGATTGTGCCAGACAGTTTGAATTTGGTTCAAAATCAAGGCAATACTAATGGTGATAGCATCAATATTTCAGCAGATAAAGAGTTGAATGGTATAGAGGATACAAAGGGAATTGAGCCTATCGAGGATAACAACAATGGGCTTTTGGAGTGTGAAAAAATTGGGCTGGTTGTCCAAGAAGCAAATAAGGATGTGAGTGGGGCTGGGCTAGTATCAAAGAGAATTGCTGCCAAGCCCATTTCAAGGGACCAACAGAAAGAGACATCAATGAATCTAATTAAAAGCAAGGAACCATCAGAAGTGAATTTCTGGGAAGGGATCAACAGTGACTCAGGAAAGCTAGCACATTGGATGGTCAGGGGAGAAAGAAAGAAGCAAAAGAAGAGAGAAAGAAGGCAAGCAAAAAAGGCAAGGCTATGTATTGAGGTCTTCAAGCATTCTAGACGCTGTTCGGAAACAAAGGGGACTAAAAGGGGGAAGCGGTTGCTAAGCTACAAGGATAGATGCTCAGAAATCGCGCCGGAGTTTCTGCCGGCATCACAAAGCAGAGTAGCTGGGATTTCTATAGCAGATAGCGACATCAAAAATAGAAATCAAAGTCTTCTTGGTTGTCACCGGAGCAAAGAAGCAGAGAAAATCTGGGAATTTGGGAAGAAAATTGGAGTAACGGTTGACGGAAATGAAGTTGAGATTGCTCAAAAAATTGAAGAAATGGAAGACAGGGACCGAAGGGCAAAACAAGCTTTGGAGAAGCAAGACAAGAAGGAAGGTAGAGCAGGTACACTATTATCAAAATGATTATTCTTTCATTAAATGCTAGAGGTGTAGGGGGTGGGGTCACGAGAGGGGGGATTAGAAATTTAGTCCATAAAGAAAATGTGGAGTTTTTAGCTGTACAAGAAACAAAATTAGAATCTGTAGATGATCAAGTTTGTCAAGCTTTGTGGGGTAGAAGGGAGTTCGACTGGGAATTTAAGTCATCATTTGGAAGATCTGGGGGTCTATTGTGTATTTGGGATCCAAAAACTTTTAAGAAGGAAAGGGTGTTTACTGGTAGCAATTTCTTGGGGATATTTGGATTTTGAGGGAAGGAGCAAGTTCCTATATACATTGTAAATGTGTATTCACCATGCGATTTAAATGGTAAAAGATCTTTATGGGATGAACTGAGGAACTTAATTATTGCCAGTAGAGGTAATTGGTGTGTTGTAGGTGATTTCAACTTTGTGAAAGAGCATCAAGAATGTTCTGGAAGCAGAGGAAATGCCAAAGAAATTAGAGAGTTCAAAAACTTCATCATGGATTCAGGCTTGATTGATTTGCCATTAATTGGGAGAAAATACACATGGTATCATTCAAATGGAACCTCAATGAGTAGACTAGACAGATTTTTAGTCTCAGAGGAATGGCTATTGAATTGGGAAGATGTGAGGCAGTGGGGATTGAAAAGGTCTATCTCAGATCATTGTCCAATTTTGCTAAAGAACCAAAAAGTGGATTGGGGTCCTAAACCATTTAAATTCTTCGATGTGTGGATGGAGCGGCTAGGATTTGAGAAGTTAATACAGGATTCTTGGTCATCTACTAAGATTCACGGGTGGAAAGGCTATATCTTGAAAGAGAAATTGAAAAGATTGAAAGGTGCTCTAAAGAATTGGAGTAGAAATTATATGGTGGAGATCGACAAAAAGATTTCTACTGCAGAAGATAAAATTGCAGAACTTGACAGGAAAGGAGAAAGACAAAGGCTTACTGTTGGAGAGGTGCAAGCCAGAAAAGAAGCATTTGCAGAACTCTCGAAGAATGTCAGAATCAAAAATAGGATGTGGCATCAAAAAGCTCGAAGAATGTGGCTACGAGAAGGTGATGCTAATACAGCTTTTTACCATAAATGCATCAAGAGCAGATTGATGAAAAATGAAATAAATTGCATTATGGTTAATGGTTGCCAGCGTGTTGAGGTGGATGACATTAGAGAGGAAATTGCTAAATATTTTCAATCATTATTTAAGAATGAAGAATGGGTTAGACCAACACTTGGTGGGCTGAATTTCAATCAGATCTCTAAATCACAAAATCAAATGCTCACAGCTCAATTCTCTGAAGAGGAAATTAAGGCAGTAATTTGGGATTGTGACAGTTCAAAGGCACCAGGTCCTGATGGTTTCAACTTCAACTTTATTAAAAAAAATTGGGAGATAATTAAAAGAGAAGTCATTGATTTTATCATGGAGTTTCATGACAAAGGAAGGATTGTCAAAGGTCTAAATGAATCATTTGTGGTTCTAATCCCTAAAGTCAGCAATCTAGAAAAGATTGAGGAATTTCGACCAATCTCACTCATCAATGTAAGCTACAAAATTCTGTCAAAGCTACTCGCCAACAGATTGAGAAGAGTCTTAGAGGACATAATCGGGGAAAACCAAATGGCTTTCATTGCTGGAAGACATCTGCCTGAGAGTGTGGTCATCGCAAATGAAGTGCTAGATGAGGCAAGGAAAAAGAACCAAGCTTGCTTCTTCTTTAAAGCAGATTTTGAAAAGGCATTTGATAATGTTTGCTGGAGTTTTTTGGATTTTATGATGGATAAGTTAGGCTTCAATGCAAAATGGCGTTCTTGGATCAAGGAATGCTTGAGATCAGCGTCCATCTCTGTGTTAATCAATGGTTGCCCTTCTCGACAGTTTGGAATGACAAAAGGATTGAGACAAGGTGACCCCTTGTCCCCTCTTCTATTCTTAATTGTGGCTGAAGGCTTGAATGGATTAATCTCATAAGCAGTTAAGCAAGGACTTTTTGAAGGTGTTAAAATTGGAAATGGAGAGCTTAAACTCTCTCACTTGCAATTTGCTGATGATACTTTGATAATGGGTAAAGCAACAAAGGAAAATATCTGGGTTGTGAAATGTATTATGAGGTGCTTTGAATTGGTGTCGGGATTGAAGATTAATTATGCAAAAAGTCAATTGATGAGCACAAATGTTGAGAAGGAATGGACAACAGAAATGGCATACTTGCTTAATTGCAAGATAGGTAAGATTCCGTTCAAATATCTTGGCACTCATGTGGGAGGAAATTCAAGGAGTATCTCACACTGGAAGGGTCTTGTTGAAACTTTTGAAAAGAAGCTGTCTGGTTGGAAAGGCCGATACTTGTCTATGGGAGGTAGGATTACTCTCGTTAACTCTGTGCTGTCCTCACTGCCCGTGTTCCAAATGTCAACTCATCTTCTCCCAAAAGGTACGTTGTTTATTATCGATTCCATTCGAAGAAGATTTTTTTTGGGGTAGTTGTGAGAATAACAAAAAGATTAATTGGGTTAAATGGGAAAAGGTGTGTAGAGGGAAGGAAGAGGGAGGCTTAGGGATTAAGGATCTTAGGTGCTTCAATATTGCTCTTTTGGGAAAATGGTGGGTTAAATTATCTCAAGACTCAAGTTCCTTGTGGGCTAGAGTGATTGGTGAAAAGTACGGAAGAAAGGCAAGAAATTGGATTAGTATGTTGGAGGAAAGAAAGGGAAGAGGCTCTGTTTGGTGGCAAAATATTAGGAAGCTAAATAGTGTGGTGGTAGGAAAGGAGGGGTGGTTGTTAGACAATGTAAAGTTGGAATTAGGAAAGGGGAAGAGGGTCAGTTTTTGGCATGACAACTGGCTAGGGGTAGGAGTTTTATCTAACATATATCCAAGATTATTTCTTCTCTCAACAGGTCAACAAAATATGGTTAACCAAATGGGCACATGGTCTGATGGTCATTGGAAGTGGGACTTAAAATGGAGGCGTAATCTCAGAGAATGGGAGGAGAAACTAGAATCAGACTTGCTTGGTGATATTTCCTCAGCCCAATGTAGACAAGGGATCGAAGACAAATGGGACTGGAAGTTGGACAACAACCATGGACACTCTACTAGTTCGGCTTACAGACTCTTGAAAGCCTCAAACCATGGAGCTGATGCAGAAATCTTTATGAAAGTTTGGAATCCACTGACCCCAAGTAAAGTTAATGCTATGGTGTGGCAGTTAATCCAAAATAAATTACCAACTAAATTTGAGCTGTTTAAGAGGGGGGTCCTGAATAGCTACAACATGACTACATGCTCCCTATGTAAAGAGGAAGTTGAGACCTCCAGCCACTTGTTCTTACATTGTCGAGTTGCATATTCCCTATGGGGCATGTGCTTGAAGTGGTGGGGAATGCAATCAGTTAGACCAGGAACTTGCTGGGAAGCTTTCTCTCAACAT